TTTTAAACATATTCTTTTTTCTCTCTGTTTTCCAATAGAGGATGAATCGTTCCTTAACAAATAATTTAATATTTTTAAAGCTGTTAGGTTACTGATCTCACAGGTTAGGACACTCGACGATGACGTTTATCAAACGCCAGTGTGTGTTTATAAGTCAATAGATGGCATCACGATTTTAATAGACACATAACCATGAGAATAATTTCACTGTAGGATTTCATTTTTGCTACATCAATGCATCTACAATGTTTGACGATATCCAGTGTTATAAATGTTTTTTGTTTTTTTTTATCGTTGTGATCTGATTGGCAACTGTGGACTTTAATTCAGTTATTTGTTGTTTGTTTTATATGAAAAATCCATATGAGCATCTGGCTTACGGAAATTTAGTACAAGCTGAAACAAGAGATAATCCTCAATAGCTGCGGCACTTAAAGTTCTTTTAGACAGGATTAGAGTAAATTAATCTATGAAACCTTTTTTCTTTTTATTAGCTATATTTTTGTGCGCCAGCAATACCAAGCGTGGAACGCGCGTATACCCGATTCGATTTTATTATTCATCAAGATCTCTACCAGCCTACTCTCAAATTGAAATTCTTTTAGGCAGGATTAGAGTAAATTAATCTGAGACCTTGGGCATGGTCAAATACGTCAATCGAAAGGGTTTGATCTCCTGAGTCCAAAACTGTAATTATATTTCCAATTGATCAAGAGACGACGGAGCTATGAGCTAAATGTTTTTACTTGAAAAAATAAAATAACTTCGAGCTAGTTTATACACCGTTATGTCGCGGCTAAAAATCTGAACTGATGCGTGCAGAGTGTCTGCCAAAGTTCGCGCAATATAACCTTGAGTCGAAGGTCCACCAGTGTTTACCTGTCTTACAACGTACAAGAGGATGTTCAAATAAAAGCCATGGTTTAACCTGAAAGTATTTCGAAATCACGTGCTTTAAGTATACTCATTTCCTTAAATATTTCTGTATTCTTACGTCTGCCTCAAAATTTGGAAGAAAGATACGTTTTTAAGATGTTACAACGAAACAAGAATGAGGGGGGGGGTCATTCCAGATAGCAACAATTAGCACATAAATACAGAGGCAAATCAAAATATCCTCCCTTTGTTTCGGACTATCTGTGGTTACAGTATGCGCTTAAATGTACGACGTACACGCAATACGTGTGTCAAATTAATTCTCAAAGTAAATATCGTTTAAAGGTTTTGATTTTTTTGTACATTAGAATTAACCTTTACTGGGAAACATAGTACAAAATAATTATATTATTATTTTTCTTTTAGTCGTTTAAGTTCCCATCTTCATTTGAGAAAGTTTCTTTTGTTGACTGACCCGGCATGGCTAGGTGGTTAGGGCACTCGACTCTAACGCGGGTTCGAATCCCTGTTACACCAGACATGCTCGCCCTTTCAGCCGTGGGGACGTGATAATGTTATGGTCAGTCCCACTATTGGGTGGTAAAAGAGTAGCCCAAGAGTTGGCGGTGGGTGGTGATGACTAGCTGCCTTCCCTCTAGTCTTACAGTTAGGGTCGGCTAGCGCAGATAACCCTCGTGTAGCTTTGCGCGAAATTCGTGACAAACAAGCTCCTTTTGTTGATTGTTGACTGGCCTAACTTGTACGCTATCGACGATTAGTTTTATAGATAAAGGTTTTACCTTTGACATTTTATCCCCTGATGATTGATTACCAGGTAATCATGATAGCAAAATTACTGTATTTATGTATAATGGGAAGAATATGTTCGTTGTTCAATATTTCAAACATGCATTATACTTATTAAGGTACGTGCGTTTTCACATTATTGCTAATCAGTTATTTTCAAGTAATATGCAAAGCTGCGTTATTTTCGGAAATTTTAAATAAAGTTTTGCTAACCGCCCTTTCTGCAACAAAGGCCTCCACCAAGGACTTGAAGTGTGATGAAATATGGTGAAATAGCTGTGTAGAACCCTGTATTTTAAATTACTTGGAAAGGGACCAGCAAATGCGGTAATAAAGGTTAACTGACTAACCCAGAAATTCTTACATAAAACTGTACTGTATTTGTTGCAACATTTTTTATTTTTTACCGTCGATTTTTTTGTCAGTATTTTCGGGTATCGCTTGATAAAGAATAATTACTTGTTATAATATCGGGGGCTTGTGAGAGTCGTGGTGGCAAATTTACTGATACTTTACAGAAATAATTACAATCTGCAGTTTAAAATTGTAATATTTTCTACTTTAGTTACCGTAAGTTTTTAATTTTGAAGTCTTCAGTTGCAGGGATTTATTGTGTAAAATATTATATTAGTTTGTAGCTTCCATTAGGTTTTTGGTGACTATTACACACCACTAATTTGTCACTTTATTAGAACTCCTATTCAATATTGGGTTGGACCATCTCTCGTGGCGATAATGGTCTGACATCCAAGTAGGTTACGTGCCAGGATTATCAACCGAGGGTTTATCTGGTCAGACAAGAGTATCCCAAAAATTGGCACTAGCTGCTTTTCATTTATTTACCCCCACTTCCCATCAGTAGCTCAGCGGTAAATCTATGAGCTTATAACAATAAAAATTAAATTTCGATACCTGTGGTGGGTAAAGCACTGATAGCCCTTTGTGTAGCTTTGTGCTGAACAACAAACAGACCCTCTAGTTTATCAAAATTAGGGACATTCAGGCACATTACTCGTATTTAATAATGGCTGGAGACGGCTTAAATGGGTAATGAAGAAAAACTTTAATATAAGTTTAACATGACAGCAAATGTACAACGTTTCGACAAGGTTTTGTCATCATCAGGTACATT